ACATTATGCTTTCAATATCTTCTCAAGCGGTAGTACCTCCCTGTTTGGTAGTTGCCTAATACCTAATAACTGCAATAAATAATAGTAAAAAAAATACAGTGCTATATGATCTAAGAAACCAGTAGTACGCCTTATAATAAAAATATATTATGTAAAATACAAATAATAATAACAGTTCTCCAGCCTAAGCAGATGTCTAATTCCTCGCACTACCTCAAAATATCACATTGCGGAAATAATTATGTAGAACTTTGATCACTTACGTTACGTTGGACATACAGTATATTGTCAGGAAGTGCTGATTTCCGTTATGCTTATGGAAACCTGTGGTGGTTGCTGCCAGTCATCACCATATATGAAGGATTCTAGTTTGAAATAAACAAAGAAATATATTACGTGTCAATTATCCTTTTCTTTATCTTCTTTCAACAACGTGCTTAAATATTTCCTCGATTTATTATTTTATGAGTTATTCGTCTTCTGATGAATCTCTCTCTCTCCCCCTGTGCCACTTGGTATGTTTTCAGCTCCATTGACAAATTATTTAATTCTTGAATAGAACTGCATTGAGCAACAACCAGTAACCTCTTCCATGCCTGGGACCTTAACCTGAATTTGAATCAAGCTTTGATAACTCTGACCCGCAACTGTTATCCTCTAAAGTCTAAATGAAAAAAAAAATAAAATAAAAATACAAATTAAATAACTAAATAAAAAATAAAATTAGTGTAAGGGTTTATGAGATATTATCAGGAAAAGTGAAAGACGTTATAACTCAAGTGCTAGACCAGCTCTTATGAACGATAATAGCGTGTTCCTAATAGCGACCAAGAGCGTGTTCCTAATAGCGACCAAACTGCCATACACAAAGAATAAACCCTTACTCGCTAACCTAACCTACCAGGTAGGATGTTCAGAGAATTATGGAATAAAATTGAAACTGGGAGCACAGAAGGCCGAGTCTATACCTGGGCCGGACGTGTGTGTGTGGTGAACTGTACATATTAACTGGCATTGTATTTGTGTTTCATCTTGCCAGTTCGCTACATTTATGTCTCTTATCACAACACGCCTTGGATGCTGGTGTAAATGGTCCCTTTGTTACCAGGGTCACACACACACACAGAAATAGAACAAAAATATGAACCTAAAACAGTGAAGGTGGTGGTGGAAGGAGTGGTGGTGGTGGTGAATGAAGAGGAAGGGGTGGTGGAGTGGAGGAAGAGGAGGAAGGAGTGGTGGAGGAAGAGGAAAAAAGGATGATGGTGAAGGAGGAAGGAGAGGTGGTCAGTCAGCAAGAGACACCTGATAGGGATATCGAGTTGGATTGCTACCGGAAGGCGTTACAGATTTACCCAACGACCGATGGTCTCTCACCCTCCATTATCTGTACCTCTCGTGTTACACCCAGCCTGACTACCACCACCACACAACACACAATCATCACTACCACCATTACAACATACAACCACTAACACACACACAAATTGTCCTGATCAACATATAATCACTCCCCTCTATACCACCATTTGACCCTCTGCTGTTCATAACCTGTTATCATAATTCGGGACATTTGTAGACCTTCGACTTTGCTTGCCACTTGAGTAGAATATCATCTCCCCGAGTACATTGCGTAAGATATCTTGATTTTCTTGAGTATGATAACTTAACCCCTTGAGTACAAGAGAATTACCCTAGTGAGAAAGATATCGTAACTCCTTGAGTACGATGACACTCCCCCCCCAGTACAATAAATTAGCCTAATAAGATATATTTGACCCTCTTGAGTACGACGATTTACCCCTTTCGGGACAATTACCTAATTCCACAGGTTTATCACAGCCCTTTGAACATTATAATGTATTCCCTTAAGTATGATAGCACTGTACTCGGGATTATTCATTACTAACGAAAAATACAAACAGTCAGTTATTGATTTCTTTAAAATGAACTAAAATATCTATGTTAGTAATTTTATAAGCGAGTATAGCCTAGCCTAATGCTGTCAATCCGTCTACCTGTAATTTTAAACATACAGGTACAGTATAGGGTTCGAGCCATAATTCTAGTTTCCAGGTATTGCTTAGCATGACATTGTTGTGGTACTTTGTCTGTAGCGAGAGGAAGTTCCCAGTTGATGTTGGGATCATTGGGTGAAAGGTCAGCCTAATTATGCCGTTATTTACCATGCACTGTTGAAATATGATATTGCATAAGTCCCTCCTCGCCCCTGGGGAGTGGAAGTTCCCTGTTAATTTCGGCGTCACTGGCTCAAATTTCAATGGCAATGTTGCGAAAAACAGAATTGGGATTTCCTAACCATAACATGATTGTCCATGTACCGACGATAATAATATTTTACAGTATATGTTTACTGATGCGCGTCAAATGTTACTTCTAAGTGAAGGGAGACATGTTCCCTTGTCATTGTCCGTATCTTGTTCAGGAACTGTTGTAAATTAAACCAAATATAAATAGACCAACTGAACAAAACTATCAGGTATTATATATATATTTTTTTTACATTTTCATTGTTCAGTCTACCCTCAGTAAAACTATGGCCACTGTACAATACAATGGGTAAAACGCGAAAATAAAAAATCTGACGTTTAAAATGAAATACGCGTCAATTTGATACTTTGATTGGATTAGTCCAATATATATAGTGCTTAATTATACACAGGTGGGGGAGGGCCAATATTACCTGTTGTATTCAGACAGGTGGGAGCCCCAAATATTACACTTTTTTACCTGCGCGCTCCCTCTAATAAAACCATTTTATTTGTAGCGTTTGATCATTGATTACAATGGCAAATATCGTATCAGCGGTAAAGGATTTTGTCACTAGTCTCACTTTGTGTGATTGATATACACACACATATATATATATATATATATATATATATATATATATATATATATATATATATATATATATATATATATATATATATATATATAATATATATATATATACTGTATATATATATTTTTCTATTACTACCAGTGAGTTGTATAACGATATTGGACTCTTGTAAAAAAATCAATTTGATCGACGTTGGTGTGATTGAAGTTTTATTACACTGTTGCTCTCAGTTGGGTGTGCTGCCATCTGGGTGCTGCTGGTTCAGTGAAAAAAATAATGTACAGAACTTTTGTGAACCCTGACCCAGGTCGCTGTGCACTAGGACCCAGAACAAGAAAGCTCCAATGTTATTTTTACTCCATATTTGAGATGTATAAATGCACAGGTAATGTAATGGGTTGAAACTATGGTGTCCCGAGTCTAGGGGAAAAATTATACGAATCTTTGAAAATCCGTACTGAGATGGCGGTGACGTCATAGGAGCTCTTCTCGAACTACTGACGTCACAGAACACGGAGTTAGATGTGAACCCGTGTGTAAAGAGTGTCGGGGCCGGGCGAGTCAACGCCAACGGGGATGTAAACAACGTCTCTGATAACCACCGGAAAGAGATTGAAAACGTCTTGTGTTGGCTACCTTACATCACTCAGGCGACCTGTAGTGTAATTGTCATCATGCTCGCCTCGCAAACGAGTGGACCCGGGTTCGATCCCGGGCAGGGTGAAACTATAGGCAAGTTTCTTTATGCCATTTGCCTGTCTACCCAGCAGTAATTAGGAACTCCCATGTTAATCGATTTGCGGATCGTGTTTCGGGGTAATGGTTAGCCATTGTAGTTGGCGAGTTGTTCGGTCTTCTCGGACTATTCCTCGACGCCGGGTCATGCAACTTGTTAACTCAGGGTGTGGTTGATGGGTTGGCGACAGTTTCTACAGCCTTAAACAAATTCACGCCTAAGTGGCCCTAGGGCCGGCCATCCTCGTTACACGAGGGGCAACCATTATTATACTTCACCCAATTCTACCAATTTCATACTGGCATAATTATATCTGAGTGACAACTTCTGGTTCTAGTAAAGGAAAGACTCATTAGTTTGCAAGTCTATATTGAATACTGGATACAATAATTAAAAGGTAAATGCTGTTAGTACAGTATGATATAGCATCATAAAACACATGCCATCAAGATCAAAAATACATATTCTTATCAGAGAAGAATAACATAAATCCATATATTGTATTGTAACAAAATATGTCAAGAACTTTCTGTATACATGCGCTATATATAATTAAATAAATCTTGTACTTTATCAACAGAAATCACTGAATAAACGTAAAAAATCATTAAATTCATTATCCTTGTCACAAAAATAAACTCAGAGCATTAAAGTATAAGGTTCAAGTAAGTGGTCTTCAGGTGAAGATAAAAAATATCCTACAAATAATGTAAGATTACCTATAAAAAAGCAGTAAAGTTCCCTATAAAACTAAGGATAAATTAAATCTACAGCTGCAATACACAGGGAGTTAAGCGAGGCAGATGGCAGGGGTAGTAAACACTGGTGGCAGGGGTGGTAAATACTGGTGGCAGGGGTGGTAAATACTGGTGGCAGGGGTGGTAAATACTGGTGGCAGGGGTGGTAAATACTGGTGGCAGGGGTGATAGACTCTAATGGCAAGGATGGTAAACACTGGCGACAGGGATAGTAAGCACTGGTGGTAGGGATGATGGACATTGGTGGTAAACAATGATGGCAGGGGTGGTAAAGTGGTGTCACTGTTGTGTATAACAGTCAACTTAGTTGCACTAGGTACGGTTGAGCATTATACATTATACAAATCATCACTTAACATAACACAGCAGGTCTGGCCCAGAGGTGCCGTAACTAGTGGCAGACTTGAATAGTTGTTCCAGGGAGAAGTGTATATTGTGTGAAACTACTATTGGCGCTTACACATGCTGTATTAACCTCTAAAAGGCGTTGCTCTAAACCTATACTAACAAAGAAACTAATATATAATGTATCAATTAATCAACATCATGTGATATTTGTACTTAATCATACCTTTTCAACACAAACATTAAAGCGCTTACTTGATGACTCGTGAGTGGTTTATGTAGCCTAATATCTCATCTAACGGCGGGGTTTTTCAGCAAGTTTCACGCGAATTTTTTTGTGGCAAATATAGAAGTGGCCACGTTTCAACAACTCCTGTGTTACTTCGTACTCCTCATAAGTAACGAAGCAGTAGTTGGCAAGATTGTTTGTGTGCTTGTCTTTTGGACGAACCAACTCTAGCACGGTGCCCCAGTGGCTTATTTCCTGAGAAATCATTTCATCGGTGATTTCGGGATTTAGGCCGTGGAAGAAGAGTCGTTCCTTCTCTCGTGCATTTTCTAAATATGGTGTTACCTGCTGCCCAAATAGTGTGTGAGTCGAGGAGAGGACATTCTGTACAGACTCCTTAGAATCAAAAATCAAAAATCCATTCCTACCTTTTATATATGTTTTTTTCAATCCTCCAAACTGAGAGAAATATGTTCTAACGTGGCAATGCAAGGCTTCTTTAGGTAAGTGTCCCAAGAGCACCTTATAACTTCCACTGTCTTCAATGGCGGGCCCTGAAGCTGGCTTATTAGACTGCTCCCTACAGGACAATTCAACCTTCACTATCGTATTATTTATTTCAATACGTTTTTTCTGCAGGATAACTCGTGCCACTCCGTCGTCGACTTCAACAAAACAGAAATTAGCCGGGCTGCAGTAATAGCTGCCGGGGCGGTTGGGGCGATTGAATTTTACCACCATACCAAATTCAGAAATTACCTTTAATATGTCGTCCTGAGTAGTGTTGTCATCTAGTCCACCAAGGTAGAGCGAACAGGTACTTCTCTTTGGCCGGAACACGGACAGCCGTTGGCCCAAAAAAATTTGCCGAGATTTAAATGCCTTCTCGGCTCCCTTTCGTTCAAGATACGTTACCCATACCTGATCTGCTTCTCTTTCCAGCCTGAAAATGCGTCCACTTTTCTCCACGTGAAGTTTTATTAGGGGCATAGACGCGTTAAAAGGTACATTGGTAAAAACAACACGATTGTACTTCATTATGCTATTGTACACGTCCTCAGGAACAAGGGCCCCTTCTGCTATTGTACTTGTGGTGTGTGAGGCTTCAGCATCACAGTCCATCGAGGAATGAAAATTTTCGGAGGGAATTGAAGCCTGCCTACATATCATGTCGGATTCTTTCCTTGTGGTGATGTCTTTGTGTAGTGAGAAGTCCTCGTTCTGTGTGTTTATCCAGTTGGACGAGTTATTACTAAACTCCGGTTCATTCCTACTAATTGAACTGCTATGTGATGTGGTGTCCATCTTATATGCGACATCCCTCCCCATGTTCTTACTTCGCACACTGTCTCTGCCTCGTGAAGCTTGCTTGCTTCGCGTTATGTCCTCAACTGGCACACTGCCCCTGCCTCGTGAAGCTTGCTTGCTTCGCGTTATGTCCTCAACTGGCACACTGTCTCTGCCTCGTGAAGCTTGCTTGCTTCGCGTTATGTCCTCAACTGGCACACTGTCTCTGCCTCGTGAAGCTTGCTTGCTTCGCGTTATGTCCTCAACTGGCACACTGTCTCTGCCTCGTGAAGCTTGCTTGCTTCGCGTTATGTCCTCAACTGGCACACTGTCTCTGCCTCGTGAAGCTTGCTTGCTTCGCGTTATGTCCTCAACTGGCATCGTTGTTATGCACACTGTCTCTGCCTCGTGAAGCTTGCTTGCTTCGCGTTATGTCCTCAACTGGCACACTGTCTCTGCCTCGTGAAGCTTGCTTGCTTCGCGTTATGTCCTCAACTGGCACACTGCCTCTGCCTCGTGAAGCTTGCTTGCTTCGCGTTATGTCCTCAACTGGCACACTGTCTCTGCCTCGTGAAGCTTGCTTGCTTCGCGTTATGTCCTCAACTGGCACACTGCCCCTGCCTCGTGAATCTTGCTTGCTTCGCGTTATGTCCTCAACTGGCACACTGCCCCCGTCTCGTGAATCTTGCTTGCTTCGCGTTATGTCCTCAACTGGCACACTGTCTCTGCCTCGTGAAGCTTGCTTACTTCGCGGCATGTCCTCAACTGGCACACTGCCCCTGCCTAGTGAAGCTTGCTTACTTTGCGATCTGTCATCACCTCGTGATATTTTGCGGTTACCGCCAGAGGTGTTTCTGGTTGATGCAGGCTCAAGTTCTGTCGTGTCCTCACGCCTGCCACTACGGTCACGGGTGGCTGCTGATAAATCGTCATGATAAGCCACTTTTGGTGAGACATCCAAAAACACTGAGGTGTCCCGCCTAGGTGAGCTGTCCACAAGTACAGAGGTGTCTTGACCTGTTGAGAGGTCCACAGGTACAGAGGTGTCTTGACCATGTGAGACGTCCACAGATACCGAAGTGCCTTGACCTGTTAATATGTCCACAGGTACTGTGGTGCCTTGACTTGGTGAGATGTCCACAGGTACTGAGGTGTCTTGACTAGATGAGATGTCCAAAGGTACTGAGGTGTCTTGACTTGGTGAGATGTCCACAAGTACTGAGGTGTCTTGACCTGGTGAGATGTCCACAGTTACTGAAGAGTCCTGACCTGGTGAGATGTCCACAGGTACTGAGGTGTCTTGATCTGGTGAGATGTCCACAGGTACTAAGGTGTCTTGACTTAGTGAGATGTCCACAGGTAATGAGATGTCTTGACTTGGTGAGATGTCCAAAGGTACTGAGGTGTCTTTACTTGGTGAGATGTCCAAAGGCAATGAGGTGTCTTGACTTGGTGAGATGTCCACAAGTACTGAAGTGTCTTGACCTGGTGAGATGTCCACAGTTACTGAAGAGTCTTGACCTGGTGAGATGTCCACAGGTACTGAGGTGTCTTGACCTGGTGAGATGTCCACAGTTACTGAAGAGTCTTGACCTGGTGAGATGTCCACAGGTACTGAGGTGTCTTGATCTGGTGAGATGTCCACAGGTACTAAGGTGTCTTGACCTGGTGAGATGTCCACAGGTACTGAAGTGTCTTGATCTGTTGAGATGTCCATAGGTACTGAAGTGTCATGATCTGTTGAGATGTCCACAGGCAATGAGGCATCTTGACCTGTTGAGATGTCCGCATGTACTGAGGTGTCTTGACATGGTGAGATGTCTAAAGGTACTGAGATGTCTTGACATGGTGAGATGTCCAGAGGTACTGAAGTGTCTTGATCTGTTGAGACGTCCACAGGTACTGAAGTGTCATGATCTGTTGAGATGTCCGCATGTACTGAGGTGTCTTGACCTGTTGAGATGTCCACAGGTACTGAGGTGTCTTGACCTGTTGAGATGTCCACAGGTACTGAGGCATCTTGACCTGTTGAGATGTCCACAGGTACTGAGGTGTCTTGACATGGTGAGATGTCTAAACGTACTGAGATGTCTTGACATGGTGAGATGTCCACAGGTACTGAAGTGTCTTGACCTGTTGAGATGTCCACAGGTACAGAGGTGTCTTGACATGGTGAGATGTCCACAGGTACTGGTGTCTTCACCTGGTGAGATATGTGCCGAGTGTCTTCACCATGTCGCATGTACTGAGGTGTCTTGACATGGTGTGTCTAAAAGTGCTGAGATGTCTTGATCTGTTGAGACGTCCACAGGTACTGAAGTGTCATGACCTGGTGAGATGTCCACACGTACTGAGGTGTCTTGACCTGGTGAGATGTCCACAGGTACTATAGTGTCTTGACCCTGTGAAATGTCCACAGGTACGAAAGTGTCATGACTTGGTGAGATGTCCCACGTACTGAGGTGTCTTGACCTGGTGAGATGTCCATAGGTACTGAGGTGTCTTGACCTGGTGAGATGTCCACAGGTACTGAGGTGTCTTGACCTGGTGAGATATCCACAGGCACTGAGGTGTCTTGACCTGGTGAGAAGTTCACAGGTATTAGAGTGTCTCGACCTGGTGAGATGTCCACAGGTACTGAGGTGTCTTCACCTGGTGAGATATCCACAGGTGCCGAGGTGTCTTCACCTGGTGAGATGTCCACAGGTACTAAGGTGTCTTGACCTGGTGAGATGTCCACAGGAACTGGGGTGTCTTGACCTGGTGAGATATCCACAGGTACTGAGGTGTTTTGACCTGGTGAGGTGTCCACAGGTACTGAGGTTTCTTGATCTGGTGAGATATCCAGAGGTACAAAAGTGTCATGATCTGGTGAGATGTCCACAGGAACTGGGGTGTCTTGACCTGGTGAGATATCCACAGGAACTGGGGTGTCTTGACCTGGTGAGATGTCCACAGGTACTGAGGTTTCTTGATCTGGTGAGATATCCACAGGTACAAAAGTGTCATGATCTGGTGAGATGTCCACAGGTACTGAGGTGTCTTGACCTGGTGAGATGTCCACAGGAACTGGGGTGTCTTGACCTGGTGAGATATCCACAGGTACTGAGGTGTCTTGATTTGGTGAGATGTCCATAGGTACTGAAGTTTCTTGACCTGGTGAGATGTCCACAGGTACTAAAGTGTCATGACCTGGTGAAATGTCCACAGGTTCTAAAGTGTCATGACTTGATGAGATGCCCACAGGTACTAAGGTGTCTTGACCTGGTGAGATATCCACAGGTACTGAGGTGTCTTGACCTGGTGAGATATCCACAGGCACTGAGGTGTCTTGACTTGGTGAGATGTCAACAGGAACTAAATTGTCTTGACCTGGTGAGATGCCCACAGGTACTAAGGTGTCTTGATCTGGTGAGATGTCCACAGGCACTGAGGTGTCTTGATCTGGTGAGCTGTCCACAGGTACTATAGTGCCTTGACCTGGTGAGAAGTTCACAGGTACTAAAGTGTCATGACCTGGTGAAATGTCCACAGGTTCTAAAGTGTCATGACTTGATGAGATGTCCACAGGTACTGAGGTGTCTTGACCTGGTGAGATGTCCACAGGTACTATAGTGTCTTGACCCTGTGAAATGTCCACAGGTACTAAAGTGTCATGACTTGATGAGATGTCCACACGTACTGAGGTGTCTTGACCTGGTGAGATGTCCACAGGTACTATAGTGTCTTGACCCTGTGAAATGTCCACAGGTACGAAAGTGTCATGACTTGGTGAGATGTCCACACGTACTGAGGTGTCTTGGCCTGGTGAGATGTCCATAGGTACTGAGGTGTCTTGACCTGGTGAGATGTCCACAGGTACTGAGGTGTCTTGACCTGATGAGACATCCACAGGCACTGAGGTGTCTTGACCTGGTGAGAAGTCCACAGGTATTAGAGTGTCTCGACCTGGTGAGATGTCCACAGGTACTGAGGTGTCTTGACCTGGTGAGATATCCACAGGTGCCGAGGTGACTTCACCTGGTGAGATGTCCACAGGTACTGAGGTGTCTTGATCTGGTGAGATGTCCACAGGAACTGGGGTGTCTTGACCTGGTGAGATATCCACAGGTACTGAGGTGTTTTGACCTGGTGAGATGTCCACAGGTACTGAGGTTTCTTGATCTAGTGAGATATCCACAGGTACAAAATTGTCTTGACCTGGTGAGATGTCCACAGGTACTAAGGTGTTTTGACCTGGTGAGATATCCACAGGTACTAAGGCGTCTTGACCTGGTGAGATGTTCACAGGTACTGTAATGTCTCGACCCTGTAAAATGTCCACAGGTACTAAAGTGTCATGACTTGGTGCGATGGCCACAGGTACTGAGGGGTCTTGACCTGGTGAGATGTCCACAGGCACTAAAGTGTCTTGACCAGGTGAGATGTCCACAGGTACTATAGTGTCTTGACCCTGTGATATGTCCACAGGTACGAAAGTGTCATGACTTGATGAGATGTCCACACGTACTGAGGTGTCATGACCTGGTGAGATGTCCACAGGTACTAAAGTGTCATGACCTGGTGAGATGTCCACACGTACTGAGGTGTCTTGACCTGGTGAGATGTCCACAGGTACTATAGTGTCTTGACCCTGTGAAATGTCCACAGGTACTAAAGTGTCATGACTTGATGAGATGTCCACACGTACTGAGGTGTCTTGACCTGGGGAGATGTCCACAGGTACTATAGTGTCTTGACCCTGTAAAATGTCCACAGGTACTAAAGTGTCATGACTTGATGAGATGTCCACAGGTACTGAGGTGTCTTGACCTGGTGAGATGTCCACAGGTACTATAGTGTCTTGACCCTGTGAAATGTCCACAGGTACGAAAGTGTCATGACTTGATGAGATGTCCACACGTACTGAGGTGTCTTGACCTGGTGAGATGTCCACAGGTACTAAAGTGTGTTGACCTGGTGAGATGTCCCCAAGTACTAAAGTGTCTTGACATGGTGAGATGTCCACAGGTACTAAAGTGTGTTGACCAGGTGAGATGTCCACAGGTACTATAGGGTCTTGACCTGGTGAGATGTCCACAGGTACTAAAGTGTCATGACCTGGTGAGATGTCCACCGGTATGGAGGTATGTTGACATGGCGAGATGTCCACAGGTACTAAAGAGTCATGACCTGGGGAGATGTCCACAGGGACTGAGGTGTCTTGACCTGGTGAGATGTCCATAGGTCCTGAGGTGGCTTGACCTGGTGAGATGTCCACAGGTACTGAGGTGTCTTGACCTGGTGAGATATCCACAGATGCAGGTACTGAGGTGTCTTGACCTGGTGAGTCCTGGTGAGATGTCCACAGGTACTGAGGTGTCTTGACTTGGTGAGATGTCCACAGGAACTGGGGTGTCTTGACCTGGTGAGATATCCACAGGTACTGAGGTGTTTTGACCTGGTGAGATGTCCACAGGTATGGAGGTATGTTGACATGGCGGGATGTGGTGAGAGGTGTCCACAGGTATGGAGGTATGTTGACATGGCGGGATGTCCACAGGTACTAGCTATTATAACAGCTGGTGAGATGTCCACACGTACTGAGGTGTCTTGACCTGGTGAGATGTCCACAGGTACTATAGTGTCTTGACCCTGTGAAATGTCCTGGGTACAGAATAATCATGACTTGGTGAGATCATCCACACACGTACTGAGTGACCTGGTGAGATGTCCATAGGTACTGAGGTGTCTTGACCTGTTAGAGATGTCCACAGGGTACTGAGGTGCCTTGACCTGGTGGGGCCATCACAGGCACTGAAGGTGTCTTGACCTGAGGTAGAAGTTCACAGGTATTAGAGTGTCTCGACCTGGTGGGAAATGTCACTTTGGAGTACTGAGGTGTCTTGACCTGGTGAGATATCCACAGGTGCCGAGGTGTCTTCACCTGGTGAGATGTCCACAGGTATGAGGGTGTCTTGACCTGGTGAGATGTCCACAGGAACTGGGGTGTCTTGACCTGGTGAGATATCCACAGGTACTGAGGTGTTTTGACCTGGTGAGATGTCCACAGGTACTGAGGTTTCTTGATCTGGTGAGATATCCACAGGTACAAATGTGTCATGATCTGGTGAGATGTCCACAGGCACTGAGGTGTCTTGACTTGGTGAGATGTCAACAGGAACTAAATTGTCTTGACCTGGTGAGATGCCCACAGGTACTAAGGTGTCTTGATCTGGTGAGATGTCCACAGGCACTGAGGTGTCTTGATCTGGTGAGCTTCTGGTGAGATGTCAACAGGAACTAAATTGTCTTTGTGACCTGGTGAGATGTCCACAGGCACTGAGGTGTCTTGATCTGGTGAGTTGTCCACACAGGTACTATAGTGCCTTGATCTGGTGAGATGTCCACAGGTACTATAGTGTCTTTGACCCCTGTGAATGTCCACAGGCATTTTATAGTGTCTTGACTTGGTGAGATGTCAACAGGAACTAAATTGTCTTGACCTGGTGAGATGCCCACAGGTACTAAGGTGTCTTGATCTGGTGAGATGTCCACAGGCACTGAGGTGTCTTGATCTGGTGAGCTGTCCACAGGTACTATAGTGCCTTGACCTGGTGAGAAGTTCACAGGTACTAAAGTGTCATGACCTGGTGAAATGTCCACAGGTTCTAAAGTGTCATGACTTGATGAGATGTCCACAGGTACTGAGGTGTCTTGACCTGGTGAGATGTCCACAGGTACTATAGTGTCTTGACCCTGTGAAATGTCCACAGGTACTAAAGTGTCATGACTTGATGAGATGTCCACACGTACTGAGGTGTCTTGACCTGGTGAGATGTCCACAGGTACTATAGTGTCTTGACCCTGTGAAATGTCCACAGGTACGAAAGTGTCATGACTTGGTGAGATGTCCACACGTACTGAGGTGTCTTGACCTGGTGAGATGTCCACAGGTACTGAGGTGTCTTGACCTGGTGAGATGTCCACAGGTACTGAGGTGTCTTGACCTGGTGAGATATCCACAGGCACTGAGGTGTCTTGACCTGGTGAGAAGTCCACAGGTATTAGAGTGTCTCGACCTGGTGAGATGTCCACAGGTACTGAGGTGTCTTGACCTGGTGAGATATCCACAGGTGCCGAGGTGACTTCACCTGGTGAGATGTCCACAGGTACTGAGGTGTCTTGATCTGGTGAGATGTCCACAGGAACTGGGGTGTCTTGACCTGGTGAGATATCCACAGGTACTGAGGTGTTTTGACCTGGTGAGATGTCCACAGGTACTGAGGTTTCTTGATCTAGTGAGATATCCACAGGTACAAAATTGTCTTGACCTGGTGAGATGTCCACAGGTACTAAGGTGTTTTGACCTGGTGAGATATCCACAGGTACTAAGGCGTCTTGACCTGGTGAGATGTTCACAGGTACTGTAATGTCTCGACCCTGTAAAATGTCCACAGGTACTAAAGTGTCATGACTTGGTGCGATGGCCACAGGTACTGAGGGGTCTTGACCTGGTGAGATGTCCACAGGCACTAAAGTGTCTTGACCAGGTGAGATGTCCACAGGTACTATAGTGTCTTGACCCTGTGATATGTCCACAGGTACGAAAGTGTCATGACTTGATGAGATGTCCACACGTACTGAGGTGTCATGACCTGGTGAGATGTCCACAGGTACTAAAGTGTCATGACCTGGTGAGATGTCCACACGTACTGAGGTGTCTTGACCTGGTGAGATGTCCACAGGTACTATAGTGTCTTGACCCTGTGAAATGTCCACAGGTACTAAAGTGTCATGACTTGATGAGATGTCCACACGCACTGAGGTGTCTTGACCTGGGGAGATGTCCACAGGTACTATAGTGTCTTGACCCTGTGAAATGTCCACAGGTACGAAAGTGTCATGACTTGATGAGATGTCCACAGGTACTGAGGTGTCTTGACCTGGTGAGATGTCCACAGGTACTAAAGTGTCATGACTTGATGAGATGTCCACACGTACTGAGGTGTCTTGACCTGGGGAGATGTCCACAGGTACTATAGTGTCTTGACCCTGTAAAATGTCCACAGGTACTAAAGTGTCATGACTTGATGAGATGTCCACAGGTACTGAGGTGTCTTGACCTGGTGAGATGTCCACAGGTACTATAGTGTCTTGACCCTGTGAAATGTCCACAGGTACGAAAGTGTCATGACTTGATGAGATGTCCACACGTACTGAGGTGTCTTGACCTGGTGAGATGTCCATAGGTACTAAAGTGTGTTGACCTGGTGAGATGTCCCCAAGTACTAAAGTGTCTTGACCTGGTGAGATGTTCACAGGTACTAAAGTGTGTTGACCAGGTGAGATGTCCACAGGTACTATAGTGTCTTGACCTGGTGAGATGTCCACAGGTACTAAAGTGTCATGACCTGGTGAGATGTCCACCAGTATGGAGGTATGGTGACATGGCGAGATGTCCACAGGTACTAAAGAGTCATGACCTGGGGAGATGTCCACAGGGACTGAGGTGTCTTGACCTGGTGAGATGTCCCCAAGTACTAAAGTGTCATGACCTGGTGAGATGTCCACACGTACTGAGGTGTCTTGACCTGGTGAGATGTCCACAGGTACTATAGTGTCTTGACCCTGTGAAATGTCCACAGGTACTAAAGTGTCATGACTTGATGAGATGTCCACACGTACTGAGGTGTCTTGACCTGGTGAGATGTCCACACTATAGTGTCTTGACCTGGTGAGATGTCCACAGGTACTATAGTGTCTTGACCCTGTGAAATGTCCACAGGTACGAAAGTGTCATGACTTGATGAGATGTCCACACGTACTGAGGTGTCTTGACCTGGTGAGATGTCCACAGGTACTATAGTGTCTTGACCCTGTGAAATGTCCACAGGTACGAAAGTGTCATGACTTGATGAGATGTCCACAGGTACTGAGGTGCCTTGACCTGGTGAGATGTCCACAGGTACTAAAGTGTCATGACCTGGTGAGATGTCCACCGGTATGGAGGTATGTTGACATGGCGAGATGTCCACAGGTACTAAAGAGTCATGACCTGGGGAGATGTCCACAGGGACTGAGGTGTCTTGACCTGGTGAGATGTCCCCAAGTACTAAAGTGTCTTGACCTGGTGAGATGTCCGCAGGTACAGAGGTGTCTTGACCTGGTGAGATGTCCACAGGTATTGAGGTGTCTTGACATGGTGAGATGTCCACAGGTACTAAAGTGTCTTGACATGGTGAGATGTCCACAGGTACTAAAGTGTCTTGACCTGGTGATATGTCCACAGGTACTAAAGTGCCTTGACTTGGTGATATGTCCACAGGTACTAAAGTGTCTTGACATGGTGAGATGTCCACAGGTACTAAAGTGTCTTGACCTGGTGATATGTCCACAGGTACTAAAGTGCCTTGACTTGGTGATATGTCCACAGGTACTGAAGTGTCTTGACCTGGTGAGATGTCCACAGGTACTAAAGTGTCTTGACCTGGTGATATGTCCACAGGTACTAAAGTGCCTTGAGTTGGTGATATGTCCACAGGTACTGAAGTGTCTTGACCTGGTGAGATGTCCACAGGTACTAAAGTGTCTTGACCTGGTGAGATGTCCACAAGTATCGAGGTGCCCCCACCTGGCGAGATACCCATAGGCACAGAAGAACCCTGATGTGGTGATACATACTCAGGCATTGAAGTATCCTCACCCTCTGTCTTTGTTAATGAAGTGTCCTTTTGAAATGAGGTGTCCATATCTATTAAAGTGTTCTCCTCTCCTGAAGCAATGGGCCCTATGGTATTCGATCCCTTCCCCTGATTTGGTGTTCTCACTAAGTTTTATTAGCTAATCCGGTTAACAGGGCCTGGCGTGCTTTTGTTTTATTCGTGACATGAAGAAGGACTTGTGAGGTATTTGTGTCAGGAAGAAATGTGTGTATGCTATATGTGACGTGAAGTGAGTGTGTGTTATCTGTAAAGTGACGTGAAGAAGTGAGTGTGTGTTATCTGTAAAGTGACGTGAAGAAGTGAGTATGTGTTATCTGTAAAGTGAGGTTAATTGTAATCCGAGGGAGTTCACGTGACCTAAAGAAGTACTTGTGAATGAGCTACTTGATTCCAGAGGTTTCCTGATAAGTGAGATCCTCAGAAACAAGGTGCCTCTGACACCTGAGATCTTGAGAGGTGAGGTGATGCTGGCAGGCGAGTTACAAGTGAAATGTATGGTGTTCTTGAAAAGTGAAGCAATCCACTATGAACTCATGCAAGTTTCTGAAAGTAAAAAATTTGACATCATACAAATACACACACACACACACACACATATACGGTATAAATGTATTCATTTGTATTTATTTGTCGATTTTCGGGTGAAGGCAGCTATCAAACAGGGAGGTACTACCGCCTAGGAAGATATTGGAAACATAATGTGTTGTCTAATGGTAGATCCTGCTGCCATATGGCATGAAAAAAATTGTGGCTAAGTCCCAGGTTGCTGATCTGACATTCTGCCCCATTTAAACACAATTGCAGGGGTCTCAATTGTTTTTTTTACTTTGACAACACAACATCCATACTGTGATATAGTTTCTCACACTTGATTTATTTATTTTGTTAGTTTTGTTGGTCAAGTTTAATGCTAAACTCATGGAGTTGATAATAATACAGGTTTATACACTAACAAATGATAGTGAGGATGAAGTTGTAGAATAGGTTTACGGTAATTTAAAGGCAGAAGACACAGTGAAGTTTAATGAATGTTTGATTATAAAGGGCGACTTTAACGCAAAGTTTGGGAAAGAAACACCAGAAGCAGGACCACTTGGGTTAGGTAATAGAAATGAAAGAGGAGAAATAATAGTTGTATTTTGTAAGGAAAACAAGATGATAATTGCAAATACTGTGTATTTAAAAAAATCACCCTAGACATCATTATACAGTACATGATATCGCCCCAAGAAAATGTATATAACGTTGTCAGGAATCAAATACACCTGTAGATTAAATTTTAATTCATAAATGATTAAGAAATTGAGTACAGGGTAAACCAAACAAAGGCCTATCCAGGGGCAGACTGTGGGTCAGACCATGTCCCAAATTGTCCCAGTAATGAGTTAATTAGAAGAAAAAAAAAAAATAAATAAGATAATTAAATCAATAAACAAATTACAAAAAAATAAGAAAAAAGAAAAAGAAATTTGACAAAATCAAACTGTAGCAGGGATATATGAAAATGAGACCCAAAACAAATTTTCCTTATTGCCAGAGGGTGGTTTTGATGAACAAGAAACAAGAAAAGGTGGAATAATTTTAAAGAAATAATGTTAGAAAGCGTGGAAAAACTAATAGAACACAAGAGGAACAAGGTTAGAAGAGTTGACCACCAATAAAATTTTCAAGAACATGGAAAGACAAAAAAGTTAATAAGGTGGAGTGAGGCTGAAAAAAAAAAATTTAACAAGAACTGTAGACAGGCTAAGAGAGATTTTCTAAATAGAAAATGATGACATACATAATTATAGGAAAATATACAGAAAGATTAAGCAAATGAACCATAAAAAAATTAAATGGGGGTGAGACTTGTAAAAGCAGGCAATATTTTTATTTATTTATATTTTTTCCCAGGATTAGCCCACCAGGGAACAGGTCACTGACCCACATCAGGGCCTAAGGGCGAAAATATTATTATTATAATAATAATAATAATAATAATAATAATAATAATAATAAACAACAATGAATAAAAATAAAAAACATTGAAAATAAAAAAATAAAAATATATTAATAATAATAATAAAGGACCATAAATTGTGTAAATGAGGCAGAAAGTCAGATCAGCAACCTGAGACTTGGTCAAAATTTTCGTGATGCCATATGGCAGCAGGGTCTACCATGAGACAACACATTATGGTTTCAATATCTTCTCAGGCGGTAGTACCTCCCTGTTTGGTAGCTGCCTACTACCTGTTTGAGACAGAAGTAAAAGAGAGATGGACAGAGTATGTAGAAGTATAAAATGATAATGAGAGGGTGGAGGTAAGAAACAAGAAGGAAATAAAGATCAATTATCAATTCTGGAAACACAAGTTGAGGCAGCTGTGAGTAAAATGAAAAATTATAAGACTTGTGCAATTGATTAGCTTCAAACAAATGGGCAAGAACGAGATTAAATGTTTAACAAAAATATATAACTCCATATACTTCAAAGAAAACCTTCCCATTTATAAAAAAAAATCAATACTGTATTTGTATTAGCATTACCTAAAATGACAGTTTAAAACAATTAGCTTAATAAGTCATGCCTGCAAAGTTGTATTCAACATAATTTTAAGTAGAATAAATTTTAGAATAGACAGCGAGTTATCTGAAGATCAAAATGGATTTAGAAAGGGAAAAGGCACTATAGAGAAGTTGTACAGGTATTTGGGTTGAGAATTTTGAGTGAATAGATTTAGAGGTACAAAGAATTTGTTTTTATTTGCTTTGTTGATTGGAAACATCTTTGGATAGCAGCGTAAAACACAATAATCTTATAATTGCTTGGAAAACATGGGCATTAATGAAGGAGATATTAGAATTTAAATCTTACAATATACAGAAGTATACAATACATTCAGAATTCTTAATGATAGAAGTTTTAAGTAACAGCAAAGGAACAGAAGTTAATGGTAAAATAATATCAATTATAAGTTATGCAGATGAAACTGTTCTTTATTACGATAGTGAAGAGTGTATTAGTCTCTGTCAAATATATGGACAATAAAATCTACAGTTAATTACATGTACTGTAATTAACTGTACAGTATAAATTGCATCACCTGAGTTAATCAGACAATGAGCAATGGTAATCACTTCCTTGTCACGTATCATTTGACTTTCTCACACCTCTCTTGCGTGTTTAGTTTTGCGAATTGGCATAATAGTAGGCTACACCAAACAAACCTATGAAACTCTTAACCTAACCTATAAAAAGGTTAAGTTTCACTTTCGAAGACACAATCATCCACTAGACATCGAAAACACAAATAAGGTAAGCTTTTTTTCCAGTTTTAGGATTTTTATAGGTTAAACAAGGCTTTCAAAGGTTAGCTTGGTGTTTGTGTGTGTGTGTGTGTGTGTGTGTGTTTTAACTCCACATTTTCCTCTATTTCAAAGCCCTGCCCCCTCTGAACAACCAATATTGTTGGTAATTGGGAAGTCATATCTCTATAACGGCTAGCTTCTTAACTATTCAGATCCCTAAATATAGATATTATCGAAATAAGAATGTAACTCTACATCCGATTAATGTGGTAAAAAAAAAATTGCAGTTCATCAAACCGAAAAGACCCTGATGGACTGAGAGAGGTACACAGCGGTGCTCTCGGACAACACAACAGTATTACCTATAACAAGCCAAGTACATTGTGTACCATTATTGACGTTTGTCTAAGATTACGCGTGAAATTAGCCCATAAACATTATTTTAGTAATCATCCTCAAAATATGAACAGAAACCAAGACTACTTACCAGGAAAATTTGCCAATGCTTTCTTTTCCAGAGATTTTATTGAAGACAAGACCAGAGAGTAGACTTAGTACAACGTATTGTGTACAGTACTTCCAAAGTCTGTCGTTTTCTTAACCTGAAAATATGAAATGATAGTGTAGCTCATCGTATAATGAAACAACAACCCATATGCTTTAATGATAAAATACACATTAAAAAATAATACCTGTATTCAGTATTATATCTCTACGAAAGAATTATACAAAGAAAATTTTCAACATACATTTGCTTACATATTTATCTATTTTGTGGCTTGTTTAAATTTTTATTTTAAATTTCAAAACAAATTATTCATTATGTAAAAATATGTGGTATAACGCCCTAATATAATACGAACATGTTCCTGAAATGCAATATATAATTATAGTAATATTAATCATTGTAATTTAAACTTTTAAAAGCGCCTAAAACTTTCGTACACAAGTCACCCTAACAATACAGATTATTTAATTACAAAACTCACCATTCCCAATAATCTCGTACGAAATTACTGAATAACCAACATCTTTTCCCGAACTTGGTATTTCAATATTTAATAAACACGGATTCATGAAGAGACGGTTGCCTCTCACCTAACAAGTGTTATACAGAATACTTTCACACTGTGTTGGAACTGCACCTTATTTATTTATTATTTTATTTTATTTATTATTTTTTTTGAGGGGATTTCTACGTTAATCGGAAGGATACACAATCCCTGATACTGTGAGTTTGAAGTTTTGAGATCTCAATATAATTATCATGGACCCTTGAATTTATTGTAGAAAGTTATGAAGCCGTGAAAAGTATACCAATCTCGCCACATATTTATCTCTGAAGTTTGTATTCAACATTCCAGGAACATGTTGAAATTCTGGCGGCGTTACTAATTTCTAAAGTATCAAATAAATGTTGTATCGGTTATATTCAAGGAACACTGAACACACACACACACACAGCCCTTAGTTTGACTAATTTAAAGAACAAAAAGAAAGTAGGCGAAAAGCAAATTAACAGCGGTAATATAATAATAAATATTCGTGAAGTTTGGCCGAAACAAACAATTAACTTCTGGATAATTCGATGTGGCGAGATTGGTATACTTTTCACGGCTTCATAACTTTCTACAATAAATTTAAGG